TGTGTGTGTGTGTGTGTGTGTGTGTGTGTGTGTGTGTGTGTGTGTGTGTGTGTGCGTGTGCAGAGCTTAAGTACCTGAAAAACCCTCTCTCTTAACCTTCAGACTGCTGCTGAACTGCTGCTGACATTCAGTTCAAAATTAAAAAACAGTCACATTGCAGACAACATTCAACTAACTGCCAGCGTCTTCTTTTTTTTTATAATGACACAATAAAGCCACACTGTTTCTGGTTAATTTAATCATGATACATTACAATAACGAAGCATGTAAAAGTCATGTGCACTTTCACTATAACTCAGGTATTATCCATCTATTGTGTAACTTATGGAAACAAATAAATATGTTATAACTTATAGTTATAGCATATTCATAACATACCTTAATACCGTGTACATTGAAACATACCCATAATAGACCCATTTCTGTAATATATCTATATACCTATATTATTGCTAAAATATATTTTGTAATATATCTAAATTATGGCTAAAGCACTTCTGGATGGATGCAAACTGCATTTTGTTGCCTTCTACTTGTGACATGTGCAATGACAATAAAGTTGAATTCTATTCTATTCTATTCAAATGCACACTCAGATATAAATATGCTCTCAGATAGTAAATATGTTCATTTTATTATCTGGCACTGACTTCAATACATGGTGCCTGACAGATGTGTAAGATCAGTGCCACACATCTATTACCATTTGTAATTTGCATTACCATATTTAGGTATTAAGAAATATTTTTAAAAAGAGAAGATTTAGTGAATTTCTGTGAAAAAATAAGCAGTGAGTCTGTGATATAGCACTATGTCAGCAGAGGGCGCTACTAAACCTTCTAATAACCATTTCAGGGCTGTGCGCACTTCTGCATACTGAGGGTTGTCAAAGAGGAGCAGGCAATCGAGTGGTGTCATTCCTGTTCTGCCCATCTCCCGCTCAGCTTCCTGTCCTTTAGTCAGTGCCACTATCTCCAAACAATACATCACATCAGACCCAACTATCAGTTTGTAAACCTTCCCTTGTGCTGTTATGCTTCTGTCACAAATCACCCCTGACACTCATCTCCACCACCTCCACCCTGCTTGCAGTCTCTTCCTCACCTCGCCTCTGCACTATCTGTTGCTTTGGATGGTTGTCTCCAGGTATTTAACCTCACATACCTTCACTATCACACCTCCCTCTCTCTCATTCGCACACTTATTCTCTGTTGCTTCGATTGAATTTCATTTCTCTTCTCTCCAGAGCATACCTCCACATCCCCAGGTTTTCTTTCACCTGCTTCCCACTTTCACTGTAGACCGCAGTATCCGGTGTGAACATGATAGTCTATAGAGACCCCTTCCTAACCTCACGTGTTAGCTTGTCCCTTTTTTCTCCATGTCCGCCACAAGCTGTAGTGTTAATAAAACTATTCTGTCTTTGCATAAGCCTCGTGGGTGTGCAGTGTTGCCACTAGATGTCACTGCCACCACATTCAACGACTGAACAACTGAAATTCACTGATGGCTGTTGATCTATATTTTAGTTAAAGCTTCTCTTTTTAAAAGGCCTCACAGAAAAATAACCTTTTTTACAAGTTAAAAAATATTTTAACAGATGTTAACATTTTAGAGGTTTATGCTGTTTATATATAATATTTTTCAGAAAAATTAGAAATGAGTAACATTTATTTATCTTTAGAGTTTACAAAGGTAAGCTTAAAAAAACCAAACCAAGTTGGCAAACACATTTTGCTTAGTCTGTGATACTTTGGGCTTTACACAGCTTGATTAATACACCACTGGCAAATCTTACATAGATCAGAAGTGGCCCACACCTGTATCTAACAACAAACAACCTTTATTTGTCACATACACAATTATACAGAGTACAACATGTAGCAAAACTCTTGTGTCCGAGCCACAGACATAGCCTCGCCATTGCAGGAGTTGGTATTAAGCATGGGGGTCTAGCCACGACCGGGTGGGAATCAAACTTGTGAACCCAGCGGCAAAGGTGTGTAGTCTTACCACCACACAGGATCCATCGCAGATTGGTTAGAGGGTGCAGACTTGACTTTTTCAATGACAGCTGCAGCTACTGGGGATCGAGCTAGTCTGACTCGCCTCTGGATCTTGGAAGTGACAAGACTTTTGCCCAGTTCTTCCAGGAAAAGCTGACGTTGGTACAATTTGAAAGAACAAGAAACGAAAAAGAAAGGATGACCAGTACTTTGGTCAACACAAAAACTGGAATGGGTCAAACTGATCCTTAACATAAAAGAAGGTCATCCTGAATCACAATCATCAGTTTAGGTTAATTACAGCCCAAGAACAGTATTGATAGGGGCCATATTTAAAGCGAATGTCTATTGCTACTGTGGAAGTGACGTAAAGACATTGATTTTATTTCAAAGGTTTCTGGCATCCTTTGATAAATGGCACTTTACCCAGTAAAAGTTTGCTATTCTGCATCTGTGTGATTTTGAGTGACAATAAAAAACTCCATGTATTAATACTAATTTACACAATACAGCCCTACTCCAAAAAACTGTCATAGATTTAACTGTGAAGTTGGGTTTCAAAAATAAGTGTTTAAGGTTTTTAGAGCATGTTAGCAGTGCCAGCACAGAACAGACCATCATGGTTGCTGCTGATAGACTTGTATAAGTTTATGTTAGCAAACTACTGAAACAAATGATAACTCAGTGTAAAACAAGGAAACTAAAACAAAAAGGAACTCTAAGCATGTACATTTTGTTTTAGTTTTATGTTGTTGTTGTTTTAAGAGCTGGATAGCTGCACTGTAATAGGAAAATCCAGCTGTTAGCCCTAATGTTAGGGTTTGTAGGACTTTCTTGAACCATAGCTTCCCCTGACTCAAACGGGTTCTCCTCCACACTGTCCTCATTTATAAAATGTTGACAAACTGAAGTATTACGGCTAACAGGTGCATTTTTCCCATTTCAGTGCAGCCAGTATAGGCCTACTGCTAAAGAAACAAACAGTAAAAGTAAATCCTGAGTATATTCCACTGAGTTAACATAAACCAAGTCTTTCAGCAGAAACCAACCAACCGGCACAGTGAAGTCATGTTCTGTACTGGAGCAAGATGGTGCTAAATATACTTTGAACACACGTATTTCTTAAAACAGCTTCACAGACGGTGTTAAATCTGTGATAGTTTTTTAGAGTAGGGCTCCGTGGTGTAAGTTAGCTGTAGAGTTTCCTGTCCACCTTAATGCATACATGCCTGTAAGACAATAATCAGGGCACGAGGGTGGCGCTTAAACTAATGGGAGGTATGACATTGCGGAAGGCTATTCCTGTCTGCTTACCACGCCTCTTCACAATAACGTGGAAGTCAGGAAATGCTTGTGTTAATATCAGGAACGGAGTGATCGGGCAGCTCAGAGCCGATCCGGGGAAGTGGACGGAGCCGACCGCTGAGATGGCTCAGGCGAATATCTCGGTGACGGAGAGCCAGTTCAGGTGTCCCATCTGCCTGGACATCTTGAAGGACCCGGTGTCTATCCCCTGCGGACACACCTACTGCATGGCATGCATCAACAGCTACTGGGACCGGGTGGACTCGGGTCAGTTCAGCTGCCCTCAGTGCCGGGACACGTTCAGCCCTCGGCCGGTGCTGCGGAGGAACACTGTGCTCGCCGAGGTTCTCGGCAAACTCAAGCTGAATGAGATTGACACAGCGCCGGAGGTCTACCTGGGGGGAGTCGGGGAAGTTCCCTGCGACTTCTGCACGGCGGAGAGTAAACTGAGGGCGGACAAGTCGTGCCTGGTGTGCCTGGCGTCTTTCTGCAAGCTTCACGTCCTGCCGCACCGTGAGGTCGGTACTTTGCGACGCCACAAGTTGGTGCCAGCGGTAGAATGTGTGGCGGAGAAGCTGTGCGCTCAGCACCGCCTGGGGCTGGAGCCCGAGGGGAGCGGCTCCGAGGCAGGGGCTGCGGTGGAGTGGAGCGGGTACTGCCTGCTGTGCCAGGCCGACCAGGAGGAAGCGCCCAGTGTGGAAGCGCAGAGAGCTAGGAGACAGGTACTGCTGAGAGAAACTCTGAGTATCGTATAATACAGCACAGAGTTAAGACTCTCACATTAAGTCAGGATACCCCGAAAAGTGTGCGTGTGTGTGGGGGGGGACCCTCAGTGGGAAAGAGCCACATAAAATTTCTGTTCACTTCTAAAAAGAAAAACATTGTTCATCAAACAAACAGGAAATACTTCCTTCTTCTCTTTTCTTAAAAATAAACTTAGTAGTGTCGAACTGAACTTACAGAATCCCCACAAAATTTACTGCAGATAATAAGCTGCTAAGTACGACTTTAGTATGTAGGAAGAGTCCAAACAAGAGTGAAATCGATTAACTAAATAGATTTAGATTTATAACTATTGCACTGTAAGGACGCCTTACAGCAGCAGTTGGCTGAGGTGATGCCACAGAAGTTAAATCATGCAAAATTATGTCTCAGTACCTGGACAGAGAAGATAAAACACACTCTGTTCTGTGCCAAACACCATCAGAAATAATAGCTGCACTATTTGTCCTGGCTTCAGATTTAATCTACAATCATTAAGTTAGACCTTTGCTTGCAGACGGTGCTCACAGCTTCTCTTAATGCTTTCCAACTTTGTGGATAGCAACTACAATAAAATCTTCTTCTTCTTTTTTTACATTTTAAAATAAGCTGCATCAATGCATCCATACTTTAAAGTTAAACCTGAGCATAATGAGCATACATGTCCTTTCATTATGTCTGCAAATAATTTGATTTGTTAGGTTTAGGAAAATCCTAACAGTATAGTTTTTTGGTTCCTAAACCCAACCCAACCGCACTGAAAACAACCATTATTAATATCAGTTTCACCTTTATCATAGCCATCCACATGATGTTTGTGGGTGTGCTGTGGAGTATTTTAGTAGCAATTTCCAAAGCTGCAATTTACAATAACCATCCAGATAATTTTCAATGGTGGTTTGCAAGCCAACTAATAATTAGTTAGTAATTACCTCTCAGTTTAGCATTTATTAATGATGTTGCTTATGAACAGTTATCAGTCTTTTAAAAGATAAGGCACTTGTATAACAGCTGTGTTATATATGAGATATTTTACGAGCTTTCACCACTTCGACAGTAATTCCCCCGAATGCAGTAAAAATGCTCATGCCAAATACTGTATCTGAATGGATGTCTTATTCTCTAATTGTTTGTCTGTCCGCCTCCATCTGTTTCTCTGTTTGTCTGTCAGCTCCAGCTCCAGGAGTCTCAGAGGATGGTCCAGGGGAGGATACGGACCGGAGAGAGAGAGCTGCAGGAGTTTCAACAAAACTTGGAGTCTCTCAAGGTGACAAAAACACAAACACACCCAGTATGTCCTGATGATTCTGTGGCCTGTGGGTAGTTCTTGGTACTGGGAAATTAACTGGTACACCAGGAACTTACCTGGAAAATGTTAGCTGTTGTCACCCAATACCTCAGCTTCTCTTACAGAAAGGACAGACTCATAGACACACCTGTGTCACAGATCAGTAGAAAACTGCTCATTGGGTATAGGTAAATGTATGTATCTAATTGGGCTATTAATATCCTTAAAAGATGACTTTTCAAGTAGTAAATGTAATTGTAACAGGACGTCTTTTTAAAGTTAATGACTGGCCGACCAGATGTAACCTAATGTCCATAGATGTCTAGTACTTGTGGTGTATCGCACTAATTAACAGAAACAAACTAATCCATCAGCCTCTAACACAGGCTTGCTGAAACTTTTGACCACTCTTTTGTGATAAATGTCTTCATTTTAGTGGGCTTCAGCTCTCCTGTTCCCACCTTTGGATGATCTAACATGCCTAGGACCATTACCATTGTTGAAAGTTCCACTATAGTCTCAATTTCAAATTATAGACATGCCTTCAAGCTTTCTTCAAGCAGTTTGATATGATGCCAATAGTTTTCTAGCTCTCCATCCGTTGACATGGCAATGAACCCCAAAGCATGACATTTCCATCACCATGCTTCACAGCAGGTGTGACTTCCACTGGCACATCAGCTCCTGGGCTGAATTTGCTGGAGCAACCAGTCGAATATAAAATTAATGCTGACATCTGTTTGAAATCTATGCAACTTACACTCACTGGACACTTTATTAAGGACACCTTGCCTGTAACAGGCTGGACCCACTTTTACCTTCAGAACTGCTCTAGTTCTCCATGACATAGTTTTGAAAAGGTGCTGCTCTGTTGGCTGCACATCCATGATGTGAATCATCCCAAAAATGCTACAGTTTTCATTGGCTCGACTCATTTTTTTCACACCGCTGTGTTGCAGAGCGTAGTGTGAGATGAAAACCTGCTCAGTCCTCTTTGTGTTTTTAACACTGTAATATTTCATGACACTGACCTTGAAATGAGTGTAGAGAGAGAAAGTTGGAAAGCCATTAAGAGTCAATCAATTCAAAGGGAGACACGAAACCATTGGAAAGATGCTGAAACAGACACTGTGAAATAACTTGGTGCTCTCCTTTACTTCTTTCTGTTCAGACTTTTGTATAAAAATCCACAAGTTTTGTTTGTTTTTACAAAATCCTGTAAACTAATGATTCATATGTTCTATAATGACACTGAGTCTGCTTTAACTGAGAATTATGTGGGTTTTGAAATTACTAATAATAATTTAATGTATTTTTTTCAATTCCAGCTACTTGTTTGACATTCAGTATTTTTAATGTATCCTGTTTTTAAAAAAACAGGAT